GCATCGGCATCGGAGGCGTCGGCGTTGGCGCGGACGTCGGTGCTGGCGCTGACGTTGGCGTAGGCCGTTATGCTGGAGCCGACCTCAACGCTGGCGTCGGTGCGGGTGCCGAGTCCCACGTCGGAGCCCCTGGCGCCAGGTCTGGACCAACGCGCGGCCCAGACCTCGCCGGCCTCCGAGCGGGTGAGGGCGATAGCGTCGATGCTGGCGCCTGCGCTCGCCGCCGGGTGGGCGGCGGCGCCCACGCGGGCCTCGCAACCGAGGGCGTTGACGCCGGCGTCGGCGGTGACGTTGGGAGCGTGGGCGCTGGCGCCTGCGCTGGCGGCCGCGGAAGCGGCAACGTCCTCATAGGCGTCGGAGCCGGGGGCGCGGTCGCCGGCGTCGGGCTCGGCGGCGGCCTCGGCGTAGGCGTCCGCGCTGGCGTCGTCGCTGGCGTTGTAGTCGGTGTAGGCGGAGACATTGGGGGCGTCGGCGCTAGCGTCGCAGGAGGCGGCCCCGGTGCCAGCCCGTGTATCGGCGTCGATGTCAGCGTCGGCGTTGGCGTCGGCGCTGACGATGGCGCAGGCGGTGACGACGGGGTCGACGACGGTGGTGGCGTCAATGCTGGGAACGGGGCCCTCTTCGGGGCCCGCGGCGCCGAGCCTGGCCCAGTCCAAGTCACAAACCTCGTCGGCCTCCACGACCGTCTCGGCCCCGTCCGACCCCGCGGCCCTCCTCGAGTCCTCGGCGACGCTCACGCCCGCGGCGCGGCGGCGGCGAGCCTCATCCAGCAGCGGCTGCCCCAGCTCCAGGGCCCCCGGGGCTTCTCGTGGGGACTCCTCGCGATCCATCGGCGCGACCTCCCAAGTCTCGGGCACAACCGTCAACCAGTACTGTTTGGCCTCCGGTAGCGCCCGCCCCGCCGCCTCCGCAGTTGCCCGCTCAGAGCGGTGCCCCGTGAGCGCGCCTCCGGCCCCCTCGAGGGGCAGGGCGCGCCGGCGCAGCCGCGCTTCCAGCTCGGGGCCAGCGCCGCGCCAAAGATCCGGAGCCGGCGGCGGAGGCGCCGCGTTGCGATATGCGCCAGCTCCGGCATCGGCGTCGCCGCTCGCGGCGGCGGCGGCGAAAGTGCCGGCGCCGGCGGAGGCGTCGAAGTCGTGGCCGCCGGCGTCAGCGGGCGCGTCGCAAATGCCGCCGGCGTCGGCGCGGGCGCTGGCGCAGGCGACGGGGCCAGCGCGGGCGACGGCGGAGGTGTCGGTGCGGTCGTCGGCGCCGGCGTCGTCCAGGTGCACAGCGCCGAGCTCCACGTCCGCGCCTGTCCACGACCCCATGCGCGCTCCCCCCCTGCGGTACTCCCTGGTGTCAGAGTCGGCGGGGGCACGGGCGCCGATGCTGGCACCGGCGCGGGCCTCGGCGACGGCGCGGGCGTTGGCGCCAACGGAGCCCCAACAACCCGCCGGCAACCGGGCGCCGTGGACGTCCTCGCGGGCGCGGACCAGTTTGACCTCTGACCCTCCCGGCACCCCCGCGTCGTCGTCGCCGTCGTCGCCCGCTCCCGGCGCCAGGCCCGAGGCAGCCGCGGAGTCGCCCAGGGCGCGATGCTCCCCGAGGCTGGTCTCCTCGGGCTCCTCGGGAATGAGCTCCCTCTGGATAGTGGTCCTCCTCATCCTCCCCCGCCTCCTCATCCTCGCTCTCGGAAAGGCCTCCTCCCTCGCCGCTCCTTCGCCTCCGCCGCCTACTCCTCTTCCTCCTCTGCCGCTGGCCCCCTCGGTCGTAGCGACCCCGCCGGGCTCGCGCGAGGGCGGCGGGACCGCCCGCTCGGTCTCAACGTCCCCAGCGGCGCGTGGCTCCGCGACGAAGTCCGCGGTACCTACTCCTGCCTCGCCCCCCGTCTCTGCGGCAGCCTCGAGCTCGTCGACGCGGGCCTGCAGGTTCTCAGCGATCGTGGCCCCCAGCTCGAGGTGGGTCGTCAGGCGGTCGATCCATGCCAACAGGCCGTCGATCCACGCCCACGAGTTGTCCACGTCGACGTCCGCGCGGCTCCCCGCCAAGGCCTCCTCGGCACGGAATCTGCGCGCCCGCTCGTACTCGCACGCCTGGCTCCTCCCTTGGGCGAGCCTCTCGGCCATCCTCTGTCGCCGTGCCGCCTCCTGCCGGCGAGTCGCCTCCTTCGCACACGCCTGGCGCCACGCTTCGGCTTCCTCGGCGGCGCGAGACCGCGCGGCCTCCAGAGCAGTGCACCGCGACCGGGCCTCGGCCAGCTTCTCCCCGGCGTCGAGCGCCTCGGTCGCCCAAAGCTGCAGGTTGGTGCCTTTCTCGGCCAGCTCAGCCTCCATGCGGCGATGTCGGCACTCTGCTCCCAACGCGCAGCAGGCCAACCAGCCAGCTACCAGGCAGCTAAAGCGCAGCGGGTCGAAGCTCAGCGCTGCCTCGCCGGGCCCGTAGGTGCCCGGGGACCCCGTCGGCTGGCCTGATGCCTCGCCGGGTCTCCCAGGATGCGTGGGCGGGGTGCGTGGCTCTTCCCTACTGGGACCGCCCTTGGCACCCGACCCGCCCGCTGGCTCGGCCGCGGCTGGGCTACCCGAAGGTCCGCTCCCGCGCGCGCGGCCGACGCCAGTCGTAGTGGAAATGGGGCCTGCGGGCCAGGCCGCGGCTGGGCTAACTGCGGGTTCGCCCCCGCGCTCGCGGCCCGGGCCAGGCTGCGAGGGTGTCGTCGTAGTCGTCGGCGGCGTGGTCGTCGTCGTGGTTGCGGCAGTGGGGACCCCAGGAGGTTTGGCCGGCGGCCCTCGCCCCTTCCTTCCCGCAGGCGCAGGCTTGGCGGGCGGAGCTCGCCCCTTGCCATGCCCCCCGCCGCCCGCGGGCCGGAGTTTCGGCCCGGGCTGAGATGGCGGCGCCGGCGCTGGGGACATTGCGTCCCCCGCGCGGCAAAGAAGCCACCAACCCATCGCCCCTTGGGCCGAGAACGCCCCACTAACCGCCAAGATCACGGCATGCGCCCCGAGGAAGCCCACGGCCATGGCACCGCTGGCCCGCGCGCCCGCCACGAGGCTGGTGGCGCCGGCCACGTCCGCACACCCGCTCCCAGAGCTGGCGGTGCAGGACGCTGCGGTTTTGGCCGCCCCGCGGCCCCCCGGAGCCCACGAGTCCTGGCACGATCTCGAGCCAACGACTACGGACCCAAAATGGCTAAGGCAAAGCCCCCGCTTCCCTACGCTTAACCTGCAGTCTACCCACAAAACAGACTATACAATTTTGGGTGTGACGGCCCCGCGTCGACTGAGTCGCGCGTTTCGGCTGATAACCAGTCTTTCCTCTGAGAATCGGGGTAAGATGACAAAGGAATTAAAATCTCATGTTCACTCTGCTCAGGGAGAGAGGGGACGGGATGAGACATTGATAAGACAAGTATCCGTTAAGCAAGACTACTCTGTCAGGAATGTGTAGGGAGGAGGCCGGCTGGCCTACGACCGACGACGCACGACGGCCGAGGGCTGGCGCGCTCCTTTTCTCTCCTGCAAGCCAAAGTTGGCTTGTTCGAGCAGTCATACAGCTGCGGAACGCAGCTGTTAGTTCCAGCAGACAGTGCAATGCATGCAAACCAAGTTATGTCTTAATTTAATATGAGGCGGAGAGGAGCTTATTTACTTATCTGCCCCCTGTTGCGCGAACCAGCGGGCCCAGTCGTCATCTGACTGGCCCACCTCGTCATCATCATCCCAGGGAACGTCTCCTCGTCTTCCGCCACCTGCCCATGGTTTCTGCCCGAGTTGAAACCAAGGATCATCCGGAAGTTCGTTTTCTGATGGCTGAGCGTCGTCTTGGTTGTCCATGGCGGCGCTCGGCGCAAGAGGGTGGGAAGCGGGAAGAACGGGAGAAGAACACAGATAAGGCCACCCGATGGTCGGGTGGAGGGAGGGTCGGCCTGACTCCCTTCGTGGATCCAATCCACCGGCTCCGCTGCCACTGTTGAATGTACCGGAGTAGCTGTATGAAATACAAAGAGACACGTCGTACAAGTAAGTGGACCCGTGCTAAGAGAGAGAGAGAGAGAGAGAGAGAGAGAGAAAGAGAGAGAGAGAGAGAACACGTTCTCTTTCCTTTTCACGGGGGTTCGCGCACGCCCGCGGCCAGCGCGCCAAGTAGCCCTAGGGCCCTTGCCGGCCACACTGGTGGCAACGCAAAGGAGGTGAGACAGAGGCGCAGGAGGAGGGGAGGCTGAAATATTGATAACAACCACAAGCGCCGATCCAATAAATCCGCGCGGACGTCCGAAAGTGTATGTTTATGCAGATGCTGCTTCTTCGAAAGGGGGGTGAGGATGAGGAGTTGGAAGGGCGGCCACAGGTAGCTTGGCCTTCCACGAAGACTGCCCTCTTCACTGTGGGCTCGCTTCGGCTTCGAGGGCTCCTCCCGCCAGCGGACAGAGCCCGGCGGGACTGAACGAGACCCAGCGGCGAGAGCAAAATCGGACTTCGTGAGGCCAGCCGTGCATCCGCTTCGGCGCCTCTGGGGTCAGCTCGTCTCGCTCGCGAGGCCCCTGCAGTCTCGCCGATGGCCCCGACCTGTGCACATATGTTCCCGAAGCGCCCGAAGAGAGACCAGGGTTCGCGGGGCAAAGGAGAGGACGGAGGGAGGACGGGAGGAGGGGTGGATGGGGGAGAGGGACGGCGGAGGAGTGGCGGGTGGGTGGGATCGACGCGTCTGACGCCCCCGCCCCGACGACCCTCGGCCTCTCGGAACACCTCCGCGAATTGAGGTCAGGTGGCTGGGACACAGCGCGATGACCATCCTGAGCTCGAGGAATTATCAACACTCCTTTCATGTGTGAACTTGACCCGTCCATGGCAAGACACTGAGTCGGAGGCTTAGCTCTGCAGGCACCCGAAATGCGGCCACATGTCTGGTATAGTTCACTGGGATGGCTGCGAAACGGGGCTGCTAAGAACGCCAGTCATCCATGCGCAACGAGAAGCGTATACAAGTGCAACGGCAGGCATTGATAATGATATGCGTCGGACGCAGGCCTCGAACGCGTCGAACATTTGCACGATGTGTGGGTGCGGAGGTAGTGCCTTGAGAATCTCCACCTGGCAAATCAAAGCAGCATCTCATCGACACGGCCGGGCAACGAAGGTCGTAGCATTCAACAGCCCATGGTAAGTTTAACATATTGAACTGACCAAGAAACTGGAAACACACGTGGTTGGATTCACGGTTGGAACATCAAGAGGCCAGGCGCTGGATACACATGCGGAAGCCCGGGCCTACACGTTGCCTGCAGAAGGGACGAGCGCTGGACAGACACGCCTGGCCGCAAATGTATACCCCAGCTCTCGCCCACGCTGACCACGTCATGCGTATCCAGCCTCCTGGCACTGACAGCACCACGCGGCGAATAATGAAGGGGCGGGCGCCGGGTGGGTCGCGGGTGGGTCGCGGGCGAGTCGCGGGGTTGGTCGCGGGTGGGTCGCGGGTGGGTCGCGGGTGGGTCGCGGGTGGGTCGCGGGTGGGTCACGCGTGGATGGCGGGGTGGGTCGCGGGTGGGTCGCGGGTGGGTCGCGGGTGGGTCGCGGGCGGGTTGCGCGGTGGGTCACGGGTCGTGGGTCGCGGGGTAGGCCTCGGGTGGGTCGGGGTGTAGGTTGCGGGTGGGTCGCGGGGTAGGTTGCGGGTGACAACCATCGTGCTACCACAATGTCCGCTGAACGAGGAACCAAGCCCCCTAGTGGCCCCCACAGAGCGCCTGGGTGCACGAGGAGCGCCAGAGAGGCGACTATGGAAGAACCCAACGAACAGCGAGCCCCTGCCGAACCCGACCTGTTCCCCTGTGCCGCTGCAATGAAGAGCAGATCGGGCCTGCGACGAGCACCGAACCGGTCGGCTGCACGCAAGAGCGACCCCAGGCAAACGCGAGCTTTGGTGCGCGACCTTCGCGGGCAGCGGGGAGGCCGAACCGAAGCGCACAGAAGCCGCTGCCATCGCTTCGCGCTCGGCCATGCGGAGACCCCGCTGCGCCCGCACCAAAATGTCACTCCGGCGAAAGGTCACTCTTACCTGAGCATGTTCTTAGGGTGGAGGGCCCAGGGTGAAATCCATATGGGCTTTTGCGCCTCGAAAGCCAATCCGTCTTGTGGTTCACCTTGTGCAGACTCGAGCCCGAAAATCTATCGAAACGGCACTTCAGATTTCACCCTGTGCCCTCCACCCGGCTCGGCTTACGCGCAGCCGAACCGAACCCGCCTGTGGCAGGAACCGACCCGGGCCCGCCCGCATCGCACTGACCGAGCCGCGGCTGTCACGTCTGTCGCGCCGTCGCCGCACGCCGGCGAGGGAGCGGGGGCGCGGGCCGCGGCGGGAGGTCGACGGGCAGCGGGCGGGCCCATCGGCAGGTTGCGGGCGCCCTCCTCCTCCTCCTCCTCCTCCTCCCTCCTCCTGCTCCTCCTCCTCCTCCCTCCTCCTCCTCCCCCTCCTCCTCCTCCTCCTCCTCCTCGTCCTCCTCCTCCTCCCTCCTCCTCCGCCTCCGCCTCCGCCTCCGCCTCCGCTCCGCCTCCGCCTCCGCCTCCTCCTTCCCCTCCCCTCCTCCTCCTCCTCATCCTCCTCCTCCTCCTCCTCCTCCTTCCTCCTCCTCCTCCTCCTCCTCCTCCCCTCCCTCCTCCTCCCTTCCTCCTCCTTCCTCCTCCTCTCCTCCTCCTACTCCTTCTCTCCTCGCTCCTCCTCCTCCTCCTCCTCCTCCTCCTCCTCCTCCTCCTCCTTCTCCTCCTCCCCCTCCTCCTCCGGCGGCGGGTCAAGGAGCGGGTTGCCGGGCGGGTGGCGGGGTGGGTCGCGCGAGGACGGCAGGAAGTGCAGGGGAATTGGCCGCGGAGCCCTGCTGCAGGCGCGCAGGGCCGAGCGGCCCCCTCAGCCTGATGTAGGGGGAGCGAAGAATGACATCCGGGGGGGGGGACGAACATCATAGGGGAACGAAGAATGACAGAAACATAAAAACTCGGAGGTCCGCGCGGATTTCTCGGATCCGCACTGGAGCCCCCTGGCGGCGCCTCCAGCGCCGCCCCTGGCGCGCTCCGCGCGCCAGGGAAGGGGGTCCAGCGCGAATCCGAGAAGTCCGCGCGGACCTCAGAGTTTTTATGTTTATGTCATTATTCGTTCCCCTATGATGTTCGTCAGGTCAGGAGCGGCACCCGATGCTGCGCCAACTGCTGCGGATGCCGATATGCGTGATGCGTTGAGCGCATCCACGGCTCGTCAACGGCGGCCCAGGCCTCAGGCGCAGAACTTAAGAGCATGTTGCCCAGCTTGCTGCGATTCGACCCTATGCCCGATTGCATTTCCAATTACCCGATCACACCTGCGGCCATACTCATTCCAAATGTACCAAAAAGGAGGTCGACCCAAAATCGATGACCACGGTGCGCCGGCAGTGTAAACGACGGCCTCTGATGAAGTGGAGCAAGGTGTCGCGGTCTGGCTCTCAGTCGTTGCTCACGTGCAAACGAGCGCTCGTACTCACGCTCATGCCCAAACTCACGCGTGCGCACAGAACCGCACTTGGAACCAGTAGGACGTTCATGCATTCACCCACTTACCATCATACGTTACTCAGGTTCCTAATGTTCATGGCCGCCTTCATACTCAAACTCGCGCATACACTCGCATTTGCACCCGCACTGCAACACTCCCCACACACTCACACCTATAACGGTATTCAGTATCGTAACAATCCTCAGTCCCGAATTTATACCGTCTCCATATTCGCGATTGTTATGATGCTCACGTTCGCGCTGGCAAACATGAAGAACACTGTTCATGACTAGGGTCCTGCCCCCTCTCATGCACATCGTCGGGCGCATGTTCGCGTTCTTGATCTTGGTCGTGCAAATGTGGGCACCACGCGCATCGGTATACTCACATGCATGATGCGATTGTGGCCATGCACAAACGCAAACCGAATAGTCAAACTGGCCGCATGGATGTACAGGGCAGCCGTGGAAACACTTGAAAATGTACCACGATGCATCGGCATGGTCATGCATATGCCTACGTTTGGCTGTACATATGCATGTCGATCACCGTGCCGTTGGCACTAAGTGGAGTGTCGCCAGTTCCCTCCGAGTTCCCCTTGGTTCCCCTGCGTTATAATCTTGTCAGAAGCCCAAATCCCGAACTGCCCGACTTCTCAAGACGTCTCGCGTGACTCCCAGAGATTTACCGTATGACTTGTCACGATGCAGGACGCATTGACACTTTCTATGTTTTCTCAATGTTCCTGTGTAGAGTTTAGTCTTCGCTTTGAACTTGCAGCGCCGCGTATCCAACAACTTCCTCCTTCCTCACCTCCCTCCTCCTCCTCCTCCTCCTCCTCCTCCTCCTTGCCTCTGCCCTTCGCGTGCGCATCCGAAAATACATATTGACACACCCCTCAAACCCTCCGCGGCCCCATGGGGAGATCCACCGAAGGTGTGGGGAAAACAGATCGCTCAGAGCCCACCCACCCCCGCCCCGGCACACCTCTCACAAAGTTCGTAGCGGGGAGAAACCGGTGACCATGACCAAGACTGAACGCGAAAACGTCCATCCTGGTTGCTGCCAATTCGTGAATCACCATCGCGAATCGGCAACGGTCGGCACGGACCATGACCAAGACCGGCGTCGACAACTTCCCGCGACATCTTGACTCAAACGTCCGATGTCTTGATCTTTGTCATACGGCCAGACCTAGGATAGAAGAACATCCTTCGATAACATGAGAGCCTCCGCCAGCCAAACCGAAGCACATCCGAGGGCACCCTCAACTAGGAGACACAAGGACATCCAACAGAAACGAAAAACATTAGGGTAACCTCCTCGAACAGACTTCGATCTTATACCTCGGTCCGACCGTACGGGGACCCCAGAAGTGACTTCGGGGGACTCGCGCGCGCTTCATGGGTGGCTGTGGGCCCCAAACCCTGGGCCAAACGCAGAAGCGATGGCGCCCACCTCGGACACCAACGACATAAACATTCAAACAATGTAACAACACTTCATCGAGGCCGTGCTTTTTTGGGACGCCCGACATGGGTACGGAAGAAATAGGTACAATGCCCAACAACAAATTTTGTCCCAAACCAACAGCGGCCGCTGTTGGGCAAGCGGCCGCTTGTCTCAAATGGACACAGGCCGCGGCGGCGCGGACAGCGAGTCCTGTTCAAAATGAACAGGAACCGCTGTTGGGCATTGTACCCACTTTTTCTGTACCCTTTTCGTTCGTGCCGAATGTTGTTTCCTGTTGTAGGAAAGACCGGAGAAGTCCCGACCACTTCCTCGGGGCCGATGCTTCGGACCCGAGCCGTCCCTTGACGGTCCTGCGGGGGGCCCAGCGCCGGCCCCCGGAGGCCGAAGACGGCCACAGAGACGGCCAAGAGCAGCGCCGACGGGATCACACGACGTGGCTCCTGCGGAGGCGCCTGCGGCTGAGGCCCGCGGAGCCCTCCGCGCGGCGGCCGCGCTCGGCGGCCGCGCTCGGCGGCCGCGACCACGACGACGGCGACCACCACCACGACGACCGCCACCGCGGCGGCCACGGCGACCACTCGCGTCGGGGTCATGGCCGTCGTCTCTCTTCCCTTACGACGGCGGCATGCGAGGGGGGGGAAGTGAGACGGAGAAGACCTTCCGAGAAGGCTGCGGGGCTCCTCAGAAGCCCTCGCGCCTTCTGAGCAGTGTTCTGCGTCTTCGGGGCAGGCTTAGAAACCTTCTCGTGGGGAACTCCCGAGGCTTCTGAGAAGGCCCGCCGCTTCTCACTTCCCCGCCCCCCCGCTAGCCGCCGATTGAAACTCACCCGATGGGCGCGGGCAGGCTGGAGGGATGGTCGGTCGGACCACCTCTCGGCGCAGCAGCGTCTGCTGCCGGTCGGCGTTGGCGCTGAGCTGGATGCGTCGCAGGCTGACGGCCTCTGGGCGGGGTGCTGTCCGTGCTCGGTCGCCGCATCCCCATCCCCACTGGCATGGCCTTGGCCCCACTGGCCCACTCACACCCCAGGATAGGGATACATGCTGTTCTCTTCGGGTTTCGCCGGGCCTACCCCCTCCTGGGGTGGGTGGGCTGGTGGGGCTGAGATACCATTCATTGCACAGTGGGGATAGGGTTCGGTGAAAAGATGCTGAGCCACCCTTCACAATCAAATTCTTGTTGGGAGTAGGCCAAGGGAGCAGAGGTCAGACACCCGAGAAATGTCCCGATCGCCAGCGTGAAGCGCGAAGGAGTCGAAGTAGGACACGCGATGTGCTCGCCCCACGAGCGCACGCCACAATGCATGCATCGACCCCCTTGGGCAGAGCCCCTCGTGTCTGGCAAACTGCTTTGCGTGGGGACGGGGTGCCACCAGAACGCCAAAAACATACACACACATGACGCCGAAGAGACAGAAGAAGAGAAGGAAGAGGCACGATCCAGCAAAGACAAACAAGACAGACGATGAAAGCGCGTCGATGCAGTTGTTGTCAGTATCGGGCTCACGTCTCGTCCCTTGCGGGACTCCTCTGAGCCAAGCTAGCTACTGATGATGTGCATGCTAAAAGGTACGGATGCACTCTCCAAATGCGTGTGCGAGAAGTCCCCCCATCTATTTCCCCCCTCTTGGTGTACATTAGGACGAAAGGGGTCAGGAACACTTTCCGGAATGAGAATTGCTGGCGTCGCCTTACACCTTGTTGCAACCGCGAGGGCTCCAGGCCCGCCTCTGTCGTGGCTGAAGCAGATACGCCGCGATCAGCTCGAGCGAACTGTCTTCCCTCCTCCTACGGAGGCCAACATCTGCTCTGCCTGTTGCCCTCTCTCCTCGCTCTGCTGCCGATCTGCCCTGCCCGGGCGGATCGATCCCGCTCGAGGCAGAAGTGCCGGCGGAGCGATGGGGCCATGGGGCCCCTGCCTTGCCACGGACTTTTCGCGGCGTCGGGCCTGAGGGGCGCTCCAGATCCCTTGCTATCGTTATGTTGCTCCCATCGCACTGAAGGACCACATCCCAAAAATAATTTCGAGCACCCAGCAAAGTGTCGAAAGAGTGTCCAATCAGTGTCGAGACAGTGTCGGACGAGTGACTCCCAGGGCCCGACATGTGAAACCCCTCGAGTTTTCGGGTACTTCTCTGGTGCTCGAAATTATTTCTGGTGGTCAAGGCTAAAGTAGGTTGGAACATCATAATGCTCTCGTGCGCTCAGAACAGGTGTCAGATGTTCACACAAAGCGAGACGCGCGCCGAGGGCAGCCTGTGTGCAGGCGAAGAGGCCGTGACTGCCAGAGGGTTTGAGCGATCACTACGGCCGTCTGGCTTGCTGAAGTGACCGCGTGCGCCTGCGCAGTCTTGAAGAGCTCACAGTCTGCTTTGAGGGCGCCCCAGACTTGGAGGTGAACGGGGAGTCTGAGCTGGTTGGGCCCCAGGAAAGAAGGTCAAGAGTAGGGATGATGCCAAATCCGCTCAAAATCGGTGCCAGGACCCCTCCTGGGGTCCATCTGGCGTAACTTTCCATCCTAGATCCGTTTTCGACGGTCCTGGGGCCCGCAAGCGGCCCCGAGAGACGGAAAAAGCTTGGAAAAGTTCCCCAAACCGGATGCTCGGACCCGTGTCCCCCCCCCCTCCTGCTGGCCGGAAAACCAGAACTGGGCCAGCTCAGACCCCCCGTCGGCTCCAAGAGGAGCCCCGTCTGCTCCGCGGGGCGGCCGATCCCCTGGCGCTCTGTCCCTGCGGCTGCCCACCGGGAGCGGCGCTCCGAGTGGGCCCCCCGCGGCCGGGGGCGAAGGGGCCATGCGTCCGGGTGGCAAAGGGGAAAACCGATCGAGCGTTGCCAGAAGTGCCCCTGGCCGAAGAGGTACCCCCAAGATTCTCGGGGGGGCCCAGACGGCCTCCAGAGCACCCCTCGCGAGGCCCAGAGGGCCCCAGGGTCTCCCGAATGGAGCGAAACGCTGGGGGCACCTTGGGCCAGGGGCGCTTCTAGCAACACCCGAGCCGAGGGGGCCAATGTTCCTCCACCATCGGCCTCGGGAGCCCGTTTCTGTCTACTGTTCGCGATTACGCCCTTGACCACGCCCCCCCGGGCTCCCAGCCACGTCATGAGTCGCGCCAGCGCCGTGTGGGAATTGGCCATTCGCTTCAGCATTCCCAGACGGCGCTGGCGCGAATCGTGCGACGTGACCGGCCACCTCGCCACCCCTCCCCCACCCCAACAGTCACGCCCGTTATCGCCCAGGGGTGCAACAATGTCCATAGAGCCAGCCTCGATCTCGTCCCTGTCCCTGAGATTGGCAGGCCCAAAGGCGATGACGATTGTGGGGATGCGCCCTCTGTAACTGAGAGAACCCTTGAGATCTGCATCGAGGTTAATGTGATACCAGCCATGGGGATGGGGATATGTTCGCAAGCTGGGAATCTGGTTTTGGACGCCCGAAATGGGTACCGAAAAAATGGGTACAATGCCTAACAGCAAATGTTGTCCCAAACCAACAGCGGCCGCTGTTGGACAGGCGGCCCTCTGTCTCAAATGGACACAGGCCGCGGCGGCGTGGACAGCGAATCCTGTCCAAATTGAGCAGGATCTGCAGTTGGGCATTGTACCCATTCTTTCAATACCCACTTCGGGCGTCCAGACTGGTTGTCGGACCTGGGCTCTGGGGTGCACGACTGGGGAAAGAGCGGCTCGGGCCTTGGGGGGGGTCGAGAGGTCTGGAGGCCCACGCCTCAAAAGAATCGAGATGCTGGATGTACACCCTGCGAAATGCTTAAGAAATATAGTCTCAGAACTTGAATAAAAACCCAACATTTCCATTGAATTCTTAAGATTTACATTGAAACGTTAAGAAAAATCGAGACTCTGGCCGAAAACTTGGGTTTTCTTAAGCATCGCCTGGAGTGTACGCGTCGAGAGCAGGGCCGTCCACGAAACTGGCCGAGCCGACCACGATACCGAACGACGGGGAGAATGGTGCGGCCCCAAGCCCCAACGTTGTGGGCATCCCGGCTGCGGACCAACCAAACATTGCGCAACTCGGGGAGGCACGATGGGGGAGGGGGCATCCATCCTCGACGGTGCTGCGTCCGAACAGCACCAAGGGCTGTACCCCCGAGTTTCCCCTCCTCTCCAAACGGCCCCACTTTCCGGGAGGAGCTCGGGGATCGGGGGCGAGGCATCGCCTGCGACCGAAATCTAACAATACCGACAGGCCGCCAGCAGCCGAGAGGGGCCCAGCGGCGCAGCAACGACGCAGCAACTGGCAAGATCAGCCCGCCCGAACGCAGCCGACTGCGACACAGCCGAACAGGCCGAACCGGGGACACCCCTGAGAAGGTGTTCGAGCGGCGGACGCTGAGCTGGGCCGCAGGGGTGCCAAGCCACGGCGAGCGTGAAGGAACGGAGTCTCATACGCATACACGCACACACACACACACTTACGTACTTTGTCACGCCCGTGAGCCTGAAGCGCTCAACCAGCTGCACATGTAGCACTCCTCAATGCTAGCTGCTAGCTGCATCACGAACACACACAAGAGGAATTCCCCCTCCCCGTTTGCCCACACTCTTGCTGGAAAGCTGACGAGCCGCCCACGAAGGGCGACTACCGAGCGCAGTGGAATACCCGGGCAGCCTTGACAGCGTACTTGGTCTCGAAATCGCCTTTGCACTCGAACACCTTGCCGGAGCCGCCGGAGCCCAGCTCGCGGCCAAGCCTGTAGCCCCGGAAGTGGGACGGAGGCCCACCGCAGCCATCTGCATCAGTGCCAGGGCAGCTCATCGGCTTGTCCTGAGCAGCAGGGGAGATAGCATGAGATAGCAGCAGAAGGCGAAGGCGACGGCGGCAGAACCAGCAGCGTCCCAACCACGCTGAGTGTTCGGCGAAACGCCCGAACTTGCGGGAGATCTGCTGTCTGAGCGGGGTTCCACTCTCTGACTGTAAAGAGTCGGAGCGGTGTTCTACTTTCGGAAGGCCCCATGAATGGCTGCGGCGCCTCAGAATGCCCCCGGGATCCTCACCAGAGCTCGTCAAAGCGAAACCCTGGTATCTTTTGACCTCGAAGCCGACCCTGCACGCTTGCCGACCTTAAACATTTACAACTCACGCCTTCTGCTTGCCATGTCGGATGGTTTACGCTCCCCGCCGGGAGGATGATCCGCAGAGAATCCGCTGGCCGGGTGAAACCATGGGTTTCGAATGATGCAGAGAGCGGCGATCGAACCGATGCAGCGAAGGCCTCTCGAATACCTCACGCGAACGAGCTGAATGTTTATCCAAAGCGGCGCCACATGAGTAGGGGGGCCTCGGCGAGCTGGCCGTCCATTCCTTACTCGTCAGAGCTGCACTGGCTGGTACGAGCCATAGGCTGATAACTTAACAAGCGACCCTATAATCTTCCTACATCTATACTGGCGCCGATGCTGAATTAAATGGTGTGAAGAGCGCCGAGGATACAACAAGAAAGCGTGCTTCGCCACAAACGTTACGCCCCGAATGTCTCGCTGCGAGTGGCTGCCAAGGAATAGTGCCAGGACCGCTCGCTTGCGTCAACATGCAAGCACGCCACCTACATCAGGGAAGATCGGACATTTTCCAGGACACATAGCACGAGTGCTTGGACAACACATGTACTCTCGCAGGGGCGCACAACAAAAAAACATGCTGCAGAGCATGGCATGGGGGCCATAAAGGAACAATCAATCACTGCCCAATCTGGGGTTTGAGCGCAGCCTCAAGCCGGGATAAAGGTATACACAATGCACTTGTATTCTGCGTCAGCGCGCACCTCGGAGCTCCGCCCCCGCGGAGAGATGCAGATGGAAGTGTGTGTGTGTGTATATATATATATATATGTATGTGTGCATATAAACATATATATATATATGTGTGTGTATACTAGAACCACGAGCGCGCTTCGGGCGCGCTTAGGTTCTAGCCGTGGCCACGGAACAGCTCCGAACACGATATGAGCAGGCACAGTTCCAAGTATGTGGCGTTAGCCCTGAAATCCGACCTTCTCCCCGTCCTCCTCCTCCCCCTCCGCCTCCTCCTGCCTCTCCGCCCCCCTCCCCCTCCCCTTCCTTCCACCCTCCTCCCCCCCCCCCCTCCTCCTCCTCCTCCTCCTCCTCCTCCTCCTCCTCCTCCTCCTCCTCCTCCTCCTCTCTCCTCCTCCTCCTCCTCCTCCTCCTCCTCCTCCTCCTCCTCCCTCCTCCCTCCTCCTCCTCCACCTCCTCCTCCTCCTCTCCTCCTCCTCCTCCTCCTCCTCCTCCTCCTCCTCCTCCTCCTCCCCTCCTCCTCCTCCTCCCCTCCTCCTCTCCTTTTCCTCCTCTCCGTTTCCTCTCCTCCTCCTCCTCCTCCTCCTCCTCCTCCTCCTCCTCCTCCTCCCTCCTCCTCCTCCCCCCGTCCTTCTCCTTTCCTTCCTCCTCCTCCTCCTCCTCCTCCTCCTCCTCTCTCCCCCTCCTCCTGCCCCCCCTCTTCCTCCCCCCTCCCCTTCTGCATCCTCCGACTCGTCGTCCTCCTCCTCCTTCTCCTCCTCGTCCTCCTCGTCCTCCTCGTGCTCCTCGTCCTCCTCCTCGTCCTCTCGTCCTCCTCCTCTCCTCCTCCTCCTCCTCCTCCTCCTCCTCCTCCTCCTCCTCCTCTCCTCCTCTCCCTCTCCACTCCCATCCTCCATATTCTCGACTCCTCCCCTCCTCCTCCTCCTCCTCCTCCTCTTCTTCCTCCTCCTCCTCCTCCTCCTCTCCTCCTCCTCCTCATCTCCATCATCTTCCTCATCTTCCTCATCCTCCTCCTACTCTCATCATTCTCCTCCTTCCCCCTCATCGTCCTCCTCCTCCTCCCTCGTCCCTCCTCCTTTCCTCCTCTCCTCCTTCTCCTCCTTCTCCTCCTCCCCCTCCTCTTCTCCGTTTCCCTCTTCCTCCTCCCCCTCCTCCCCCTCCCAAGACACTCGTCGCTGGGATTTGTTCACAACGTGGGCCCAGGATATCCGGGCGACTTCCCGGGGCCGACTGTTCATCCCGACTTGTGTTTGACGGTCCCGGGGCCCTGCAAGGGCCCCCTGGAGGCTGGAGCTTGTGCAAATCTTCCCGTCGTGTTTTTTGTCCCGACGCAAGGTGGGAGCAAAGAAAAGCGACACCACCACCACCACCACCACCACCACCACCACCACCACCACCACCACCACCACCACCAGGGCGAGGAGCCAGGGGATACCCCCTGGTGGTGTGGCCACACCTCCCCGCTCGAGACATCCCCGACCTCCAGCTTGAAGGGGCATCGCGGACCTTCTCGATGAAGGTGGCTCCCCTGGTGGTGGTGGTGGTGGTGTCGCTTCTCCTTCCCCCGAGCGAGGGGGACTGGATCCTGCAATTTGCCTCGGGCCTCAACGGCCTCCGGACGGGAGGCGCCCGCCCGGGGCCGAAGACGGCGAAAAAACTTATTCTAATAGAGGCTCGAAGCCTGACGATGAATCAAGGGAACATGGAATCCTGCAGCGCTTCCCGCGAGACCAGTCCATGAGGGAAAAAACACCATGGCCCGTGGGATCTGTTTGTCTTGCACCTGTCACATGCATGTTGGGAGCCCTTCGGGGGCTTCTGGCGGCGTCTTGGGGGCCTCCGGGGCGCTTCTTGGAGTCTCTCAGGGGCTTTTTGGGGCGGAAGGCCTGGAAGGTCCGTTCGGATTCCCTGTCTGGGCCCCCTTCTTAGAGCCGTCTTGGGGCTATCTTGGACCGTCTTAGAGGCCTCTTGGGCTGCTTGGGTCCCTCTCGGGCTGTCTTGGGGCCGTCTTGGGAGCCTCTTGGGCCGTCTTTGGGCGATCTCGGGAGCCTCTTCGGCTATCTTGGAGCGTCAGGAAGCTGAAAAGGTGAGAACCACAACAAATCCTCAAAAACCCTTGACAAACAACTATGTTTTGCCTCTTGTGGCCCTCTTGAAAAAGCTTGTTGGAGGCCTCTTCGGGCGTCTTGGAAGCCTCTGGGGCCGTCTAGGGACTATCTTGACCGTCTTGGACCGATCTTGTGGGGTCTCGGAGCCCTCATGGACATCTTGGGTGCTTCCTGGGGCCGTCTTGGAGGCCCCCTGGAGGCCTCCTGGGCCGTCTGGAGGCCCCTTGGAGGCGCCAGGGCGGGGGTATCAAAGAAAGGAGGCCGATGGTTTTGAGGTGGGCGGGGACAGGGGCTGGGGACCCGGTATTCACCCATTATATATATATAGAGAGAGAGAGAGGTCTCCGCATGCACCGTGCAACCCCTTTTTCCTCTTGAAAGATGGCAAGAAGAAGGGGGCGGTTCAGGTGCGCGCGCCGGTCGCGGAGGCGAGGTTTCGAAGTGGGTTGGTTCGTGTGTCGGAGACGAAAGGCGTTGAGTACCGGGCGTTGGTGGTGTAGACGGGAGGCGTTGAATCAAAGGTGACTTTCAAATTCACTTTTGGGGGGGGGGCTGATGGGCATTAGGTGTTGCGCTGGAGACAACGGCTGTTTAGTACTGGGTCTTGTGTTGTAGACGGATGGGGTTGAATAGTAAAATATTGTCCAGTTCAGTTTGGGGAGGGTTTGTTGAGTATTGGGTGTTGCGATTGAGACGAAGGCTGATTAGTGCTGGGTGTTGCGTTGTAGACGGAGGGCGTCGAATCGAACTTTATTTTCAATTTCGGCTTGGGGAGGAGCCGGTTGAGTATGTGTTTGAGAGAGACGAAGGCTGGTTAGCATTGGTTGTTGTATTGTAGACGGAGGGGGTAGAGTAGAAAGTTACTTGCAAGTTCACGTTTGGGAAGAAGCCTGTTGAGTATCGGGTGTGATGTTGGGGACGGAGGCTGTTGAGTAATGGGTGTTGTGTTGTAGAGGGTGGGCGTTGAGTAGAAGGTTATGTTCGAACTCAACTTACGGAAGTGGTTTGTTGAGTAGTCGGTGTTGATGGAGACGGAGGCAATTGAGTACTGGGCGTTGCGTTGTAGACGGAAGGGGCAGCGTGGCAGGTTATTTTCGCAGGTTCAAGTTCATCTTGGGGGGGAGCCTGTTGAGTTTCGGGTGTTGTATCGGAGACGGAGGCTGTTGGGTAGTGGGTGTTGTGTTGTAGACGGGGGGGGGGTAGAATAGAAGGTCACTTTCAAGTTCACTTTGGAGAGTGGGCCTGCTGAGTATTGGGTGTTGCGTTGGAGACTGACGCTGTTGAGTACTGGAGAACTCCCCGCATGAGCTGCATACCAGGCAGTGGAGCGACGCGACCAGCCTTCGCGACCCAGCCCATTTCACTGACTGGTGAAATCGGCTGCACCTGCAAAGGGCGAACATCGTTCCGAATTTGAGCCGAAAAGCCCTTGATGAAACATCTTCAAAATTGAGTGGGAAACCGTGAGAAAAAAAAAACATATGCGTGTATGTCGTAAATGCACCAAGGTAGTTCATGGTGCGCGCGGAGGGCTACATATACATATATATATATATATATACATAGATCTATGCACAAGAGTTAAAGGTTCGCTGCGCTTCGCATTATAATCTTGACTTTCGCACCTACATGTTGTATTGAAACTGCGGTCAGCATGTTGATGTGGCCGCAATGTTGCTACGACCCATCCCCGAACTTGACGTCGGGGAGGCTAACCTGGCGCATCCCCGATTGGCAACAGACCCGACGCGCTCCGTCCAATGCGAACGCCAGTTTCGGCACTTGCCCAGCACGACAGGAAGGCAGCTGCGGTCGTCAGTTGTTTCGCGCTGGAGGCGGCGTTCGCAAAAGGCGGATGTAGCTGAGGCTCAGACGTGAGTGCCATTCTCACCCACGAATGCGGCCGGCGCTGGGGCGGTAGCACAAATCTTGGAAATGGGTGCGGCTGGCGCTTGGGCGGAGCACAAGTCCCCCACGTGAGCCATGAGAACCGTGCGAGTGGGGCGGCATCACAATAGTCAATCAGGGATGTGGCTGGCGCTGCGGAAAGAATGCCACGCTCCATGAAGGATTTGGCCAGCGCGCAGACAGCAGCATGACTCTCAGACAGGGACGTGACCAACGCTCGGGCGAGAGCGCCAATCCCAACCAGGAACGGGACTTGTGCGCGACCAGCAGCATCATCTGCAATGCGGGGCGCGGCCGGCTCTGAGGCGACAGCGCCGCTCGTATTGGAGAGCGTGGCCAGCGCTGGGGTGGCTGTGCCAATCCTGGATCAGGATGCGGCCGCGGATGGGCGGGAGCACCATTGTCCAGTATGGCAAGCCGCGCGGGCGACGCGGCGGCACCGTACTGAATGAGGGATGTGGCCAGCGCCGCGGCGAGAGCACCCGTCCCACTGAAATCCGTCCTCTTTCTTCTCCGTGTCCCCCCCCTCCTCCTTTTCCTTTCTCCGTTTCCTCCGCCCCCTCTTCCTCCTGCCCTTCCTCATCTTCTCCTTTTCTGCCAGCCGAGCCCTGCCGGCGCGCGGGCGGGCTCAACGAAGGACGACCGCGACGACAACAACGACGACAACAACGACGACGGCGACAACGACCGCCCGAAAAACTGGATTCCCGGACCTGCCAACGATGCAGTTTCACCACCACCACTTGGAAGGCAGAGTAGCCTTCACGACGGGAGAACTCCCAGAGTCGCGGGCGATCACGCACGCGCGAGGTCCGTGGAGGAGGCAAGGGCCGAAATGCAAGAATGGACAGATAATCTCGGGCAGGGGGGGTGGAGGTGGAGGAGGGCGTGAAATCATCACTGCAAGAGATCGGGTTCAAATCGGAACAATGGAGAAAAATGAGCATCAGATTTTGGTTCCGGGGGCCGCTCGCCTACTGAAACTGAAAACATCATCAACTAATACCTGTTTGGGGGCCCTGGGGCAGCTTCCACGCTGGACCGGAGCCACAGAAACCTGAACGTCTGATTCTGGTTCCCGGGGCCGTTCCCTGGCGCGGGACCAGCATCGCAAAGGGCTGGGTTCAGATCGGAACATCAGATAAAAGTGAACGTCAGATTTTGGCTCCCTTGTCGCTCGCTACCTGAAACTGCAACATCACGGCAACATTGACATCTGGAGTCGGGCCTTGGGGCCGCCTCCCTACTGGGGCGGAATCACAGAAACCCGAACGTCAGATGTTGGCTCCAGGGGCCGTTCTCTTAGCCAAGGCCAGCGCTGGCAGGAGGGGACAGAGAGAGGTTCAAGTTCGAGGCCAGCAGGCCGTGGGGCGAACCTACGCTCGCCAGATCGCCCTGCGAGTGAGCGCAGTCCGCGCGATCCAAGTTCCCGGCCGCCACAGTCTGATGCACCAGGCTCGCGTATGCGCCGACGTGAGTGGAGGGATTACACGTCGTACCCCACAGGGAGTTGCACCGACGGCCCCAGAGCAAATGTTCGTATCCCGCCGCCTCACCCATGTCGGCACACTCCTGGCCTGGCTCGTGAGTTCGGGGCGTGTTCCATGCCTTTCGGAGCCTGGCGGCGTTTTTCCTGAAGGGCCCCTTGAAGCCTTGAGATGGATCGTGAATCGGGGGCATCTTGAAGCCTTGGGAAGCTTCCTGGGAGCCTTTTGGAAGCATTTGGGGAATCTCTGGGGGCCTCTTGGGCCTTCTTAGGATCCTTTTGGAACTCTTTTGGGCTGGCTGGGGGCCCTGTTGGGCCGTCCTGGGGCCCTTTTGTGCCGTCCTGGGGGGCTTTGGCCGTCTTGGGGCCTTCTTGGGCCGTTGATGGGGCCTCCTATGGCCATATTGGGGCTCCCTCTGGGACCTTCTGCGGTCCCTCTTGGCTGTCTTGGGGCTCTCTTGGGCCGTCTTGGAGCCCTCTTGGGCCGTCCTGGGGCCCTCTTGGAGGCCTCTTGGGTCGTCTCGGGGCGAAAATATCAGGGGCCTTTGGGGTCATTTTGGAGGCTGTCAGGACCGAAGAAGCGAGTCTGCTGACATGTACGTCTTCCGATGAGAATTTGACGATTTGTGCCTCTTGGAGATCTCTTGGGGGCCGTCTTCAAGGCCTCTGTGGTCGTGTAGAAGCCGTGTAGAAGCCGTCTTGGGCCCTCTCGGAGCGCGCTCGGGCCGTTTTGGGGGCCGTCTCGGGCCGTTCTGAGGCCGTCTGGGAAGTGCCTTTTGCCTCGTGGGGCCCCGATGCAGGCCTCGGGGCGCTCTCGTCGGGTGTTCCTGGGCCGCCTCAGGGCATTGCTGAGCTCTCTTGGAGGCCTCTTCGGCCATCAGAGGAGGCCGCAGGCGTATACCGGGGGGCCTCGGAGGGGGAGGGGGGGGCGGTGACATGCTGGGTTTTTCCTTGAAGCTTCACAGGTCGGAATATAGAGATACGTGTGTGTATGCTTAGCCCCCCCCCCCTGGCGACCCAGAAGGCCCCACGAGGCACCCAAGAGGCGCCCCAAGAGGCCCTCAGGACTGCCAGGCCCCCAAGACGCCCCAAGAGGCCCCCAAGCTGCCCCCAAGAGGCTTCAAACTGAGTCCACAATGCCCCCTGGGGCCTCATGTGACATCCCAATGAGCATCCTAGATTCCTACGACCCACCACCCAGGCACGGTTGCGGGATGGACCGAATGCCATTAGATATAAACAACAGCTGCATTGTTTTATGTATACTGACAGTGTCTGAAGTAATGTGCGATAACCCTGGTTCTGAGGCAAGCTGGCCCAACCCAAGACGACCCGAGTCCGAACTGATGCAAGCTCGGCCAAGCCAAGCCAAGCTAAACTAATATGAAGCCAGACGTAAATCAAGAAAACCGTCCACAACGGCGGTCGAAGGGTACCGTTCCCTGCTGCATGGGGCGAGGGACTTGCGAGGGTGGGCTCGGGCGGATGCAGCTGCTCCCTGCGAGCGCCCCACGGAGCGCGGGACATGTGGGAGATATGCCTGAATTGGCCTGGCGGTCACGTGCGAACCCAACCACTTTGGGCCGGGAAACCCTGTGGAGCACGAAGCACGTGAGAGGAGGACCAGAACAGAAGGGGGAATCACGAGCGACCTTCCCTGTGGGGCACAGGGCGTGTCAGGGACATGCCAAGACGGGCCGTCGCTGTGGCCCCGCATGCGTGACCGAAAACCTGCGGGACCACATGCGAACCTGGCCTGTAGCCATAACCTCAGAGGAGGTCTTCAGCTTTAGCCCTCCCCTGTTTCTCTCGGCGGGAAACAAAACTCGCCCCTCCTCCTCATCATGCTCCCCCTGCTCCTCCTGCTCCTTCTGCTCCTCCTGCTCCTCCTCCTCCTCCTTCCGCTTCTCATGCTCCTCCTGCTCAAGCTTCTTCTCCTGCTCCTTCTGCTGCTTCTGCTCCTGCTCCTGCTCCTGCTCCACCTCCTGCTCCTCCTCTTCGTCCTCCTCCTCCTCCTCTTCCTCCTCCTCCTCCTCCTCCGCCTCCGCCTCATATTGAAGTGGGGGCTCTAAAGACCTGCCAAGTTTCATTGGGCTCCCCCCTGGGGCGCCAGAGCGCTCCAGAAGCGGGCCGCCGTCGGGGAAAACCACCAGGTACTGATACCGCTGCTCCCCGGACCTCTCCTGGGGTGCGTTCTGACCAGGATTTCGAGGCGAATCCAGCGGTGGCGACGAGGCCCGCCCAGGAGGCCGAAAAAGGGGAAACCGAGGGAATGGTAGAGGTATGGGTGCCTTTTCCTCCTCTGACTGTCGGGGCCCATTTTGACCCACAGAGCGCGCGGGGGCGACGGCGCAGGCGCGGCTGCAGCGCGTCGCGGGGGCCATCAGCTCGGGCTCGCTGTGGGCACGGAGCGTGCGGGAGGGGAGCCGAACCGGGTGCAAGCACTTGGTGTTGGAGGCCTGGAAGTGGGCACCAACACCAAGACAGGGGGCTGCCTCCACAGGGGGGAGATGGATCCTAGATTGTGGTGTTGTTGGAACTATTTCGGTCACCTTGGAAGCCAGAATATTGCCACCATCACCGAGATCGGGATCTTCTGCCATCGGTGGAGGAGCACCGCCGATATTGGTGGTAGTGTCAACCTCTAGGCCTGCGATAGTGGCCCCCGGAAGCGGCAGGGCAGCTTTGTCACCGCTTCCGAGACAGCGCCTTGGAAATGGAAGCGATAACAAAAAAAGCAACCGGAAACGTCAAAAAAACAAAAACTCCGAAAATGAAGCCGGAGCCAAAACCGGCAAAACAACAACGACGGAACCGGGAACAAACGGCGCCGACACCAACAAAAAACGGCAAAACGGAACTGGTAAAAAACGGCTGTCGTTTCCAGGGCCCACCAAGTGCAGGCAGGCACCGCACGTGAACACGACAAATGCACCCGCAGATGTCCTCCTGGGGCAGGGCAGCGCCTAAGCAAGTGGGCTCAAACGGATGTGGCACCACATGCGAAAACGACCGCCGAGGCCAAAGTTGGGTCTCCCGATGGGACGCGAGGCGTGTGCTAAATGGGCCATCGTCTGTGGGTGGACCAAGGCAACGGGGAGGACAGCGTGTGAAGCGGAACACTGTGGCTGGAACGGAAGGCCGGGAGAAAACCGATTCGCGGTCAGCAGCGCAGCCCCGCAGCAGCGGCAGTTCGTGAATGAGAAGAAAAGCAGCAGCAGTCAGGAGGGGGGAGGGGGCAGAGAAGGAGGGGCAATCGGCGCAGCGGAGAGAGAACGAGTATTCGATTTCGCCAGAGAGCTTGGAACATCATGCTCTCAAGATGTCCTCCCAAGACTCTGAGGCGAATGCTGACTCAAAATTGAGATCGCATTTTTGACGGAGTCGGTCTTGCAATGGCCAAGATGAAACCGTCAACGGAAGTAGCGCCAAAGCTTACAACTCGAAGCTCTACCCATGCAGGGCAGTCCTGCGCGCCCTCCTCGTCGCTGCTGACCTGCAGGGGAGCGTCCGCGGCCCATAGTTGCGCACCCAAGCGCCCCCAGCTCTCCTCCTCCTCCTTCCGAATCGGGTCTGACACGCTCTCTTCCAGCGCAGGCCCCTTGCTCCAACACCCGGCACTCGGCAGACCTCCTGCACCATGTCTGTAATGGGAGCCGGGCCAGGTGATGACATCGCACGATGTGCATTGGCGCTCGAGCATTCGCCTTCAAGCCCGCTCACTCTGTTTCGGACTGAAGAACTGCCTACGCTTCGAGGTAACATCCTGATTGATAGATGATTCAAATCCGAGTGCTACAATATTGCCATGCTTCTTCGTAAAGCATTAGCACTCACAACCTCTGCAGCCTATGTGTCCGGTGGGAGACATCCGCGTTGGAATTGTCCTGCTGCTCTCCTGTGCCTCCACCTCCACCTCCTCCTCCTCCTCCAGCCGATGCTATCCGACGTCTCGTGTCAAACATCGTCGCTGACAACGTCGCCGTTCACGTAGTAATAGCTGCACTCGTTTCCTGCCCGCGCGCCCCACTCGGCGACGCGGCTGTCCCCAGGGCATGCCTTGGCCCTTCACGGCGTCATTCTGGATGCATCACCGACTCCGGCTGGCAACAGAGATTTCACACGCAACTGCTCGCGCGTGTGCTTCCATGTGCGCCCACCAGGAGCTACGCATCAAGTAAACATGTTGGAGAAGCGGCCCACCAGTCTCGCGTGAGAATTCGGCGATCGAGAACTCTGCGCCTCCATGCCGCGCCTTTGGCCCCCACGAACTGCAGCAAACGCGGTTGTGGCCGGCTTTTTCCAGCAATGGACTCTCCGTGGCGCCTTGGCCGGTGCTGGCACCAGCGCTGGGCCCCGGACTGGCTGCCTGGGCTCCGCCGACCCTGGGCGCTGCCACGGGGCGTGGATTGACCAGGCTCTAACCAGCCTCGAACTTACCCCTCTCCCTAAGATGGGCGAGCGAAAAGCGAGGACAATCTTAGGGATGCGCTCGCAAAAACTGAGGGAATCCGCAAGATCTGCATCGAGGTCAGGTGATGCCAAATATAGGGATAGGGATATGTTTCAAAATGGTAAGGCTCAGCTCACACCCAGCTCAGCCGATTCAGAGGAAATGCATTGCAGCTGCTTGGCCGCTTCCCAAATACCAGCTCTGCCAATATGAATCCGCCGATTCTGTCGGCGTGTGGACCCCTGTCGGCGTGCGCTCAGTCGACGCATCCGTTGTCCTCTTTCCCTGCGTCTCCGTCGTCCCCTTTCCCTGCACCCTTCTCTTCAAGCCTGCCAGCGCGAGAACACCGTAGCAACGTCGTACTTAGGTCGAAGGGAAGCCCCTTCCCTTTGATCCCTCCCCCGCCGAGGGGGGGGGGGTCGGGGGGGGGACCCCCGGGGGTGGCGGGAAGTCAGATACGCATCCGCCCCTGGGCGTCCCAGAGCCCCCCAAAGCGCCAAGACGCGCCAAGAGGGTCCCAAACAGGCCCAAGAGGAGGACCACGAACCGACATTTCGAGCTTCCCGCCAAAAGAAGCTCCCGGAAGGACCCAAGAGTCCCTCAAGGGACCCGAAGAGGCCCCCAAGAGACCCCCAAGAGGCGCAACAGAGGCCCCAACAGGCCCGAAAATATCCAAGAGGCCTTTCAACCACAACCCCAGCACGGTGGCGGGAAGGGCCGCAGGCCACAAGGCTCCCTGTCTGTCTCTGCTACGACTCCCTCGGCCCACATGGGGAACATGTCCTTCGCCTTCTCCTGCTCCCTTCCACCTGAATCCCCCTCCTCCTCCTCCTCCTCCTCCTCCTCCTCCTCCTCCTCCTCCTCCTCCTCCTCCTCCTCCTCCGCCGCGTATTCGTCGTCGTCGTCTTCAGGGTCGGCGGCACCGGCCGTAAGGCCTTAGCAATATGCAGAGCCACCTCTAGGGCCGAGGGCGGCTCCCAAGTACGACTCAGCAGATAAACCTCGACTCCTGCAGGATCCTGCAGGATCCGGCGTTCTGGCTGAGCCCCGTTTGCGCTGACCCCCGTTACATGCGGCCCGAGCCTAAGGGAGTCCCGCCTCCCAGCCGCCCGCGGCGACGGTGCGGGCCCCGGGTCGGCACTGTGATCCCCTCCCCTCTGCCCCGCATGGCGCCGCGAGCCACCCCCCCCTGCCGTGCCTGACCAGGCCGCCCCTTCTTGAGAGAAGGTGGGCGGATTGGCAACAACGGCATACCCTTTTCCCCGAGCCAAGCCAAACAGGTCCGACATGGCATAAGTGTGTAAGCGAGGCCCCACATGGCCCCTTATTCAACATCTCATCCATAGAAGGAAAGGTACGCCTCCAGGCCAGAAGAACTCTTGAGATGATCCTGGACCCCTGGATGCCAGAATTCGCCCGGGGTGCGAACTCGGAGGCAAGGCTCTCCCAATCAGTGGTTGCACTCATGGGCTTATTGGGCTGCGAGATCTGGGAACGAAGCCCGAGGATGTGCCAGTGTCATAAGTTCCCACCCATGGAATCCCACCCAAAGGTTGCGAAAACCACCAGAGGGGTTATCGGTATGGGATAGGGTCCCACCCATGGTGCCCCGCCCATGGGTTGCGCATGGTACACCGAAGAGTTCTCGGTGCCACAGAGCCCCCGCATGGGTTCTCACCCATGGGTTGCGTACCTAAGATCCCCAAATAGCTTTCCTGGAATCGTAGAATCCCTCCCATGCGGCCACGTCCCGCGGATGGGTTGTCTTTTCGGGAGTCGGGTGCGTACCACGCAGTAAAGAGATTCCCAAGGGGCCGTGCCCTTAGCGCCATGGGTGGCGCTAACTCTTCGGTGCGCCCGCGTGGTCCCAACCATGGGCTGCGAACCGAGTGGCGCTAATTCTTCGGTGGATCCATGTGCTCATGGGGTCCTGCCCATGGGGTGCGCCACGAAGAGCGCTGATGTTTCGCATTGATGCTGCGTTGTATTGGGTTGCTTCGCGATGCATTGTTTTGCATTGCTTTGCGCACCACGCAGGTCGCACAAGTTCACTGTTTGGGATCACCACTGGAATCATTTGTATTTGCGACAAGTGCTAGATGATGCTGACGCGCGCCGAGTGCTCGGCTGTCTCCACCAAACTCGTTGGATAAGGAATCGTTACCCATGCGGAGCTGTCGGGGTGGACCGACGAGTGGGCCCGGGCCGCCCCTACGCCCGATCGTTTTTCCCCTCCTCTGACGGCCGGACCTAGGACAGAAGGATATCCTTCGAGAACGTGAGACCTTCCGCTGGCCAAACTGAGGAACACTCGAGGGTATCCTCCCCCAGGATGCACAAGAACATCCAACAAACACGAAGAACGTCAGGGTACCCTCCCCGAACCGACCTCGTTCTTATACCTCGGTCCGACCGTACTCTTCCTACCCTTCGTCATCTGCATCCCCCTCCTCCTCCTCCTCCTCCTCCTCCTCCTCCTGCTCCTCCTCCTCCTCCTCACCCCCTGCCCTTTTCCCCCTCCGAGCTTCCTTTTCCTCCTCGCTCTGCTCCCCCTGCCCCGAAGGTTGCTCCTCGTCCTCCTTCTCCTCGTCCTGCCCCCCATCCTCCTGGTTCCGCCCTGGAGGGACGGGGAGCACGCCAGTGTCACCCCACAGCTTCAGAACACCCTCCTCACAGGGTGTCCCTCTGGCCGATCGTTTGCCACGGTCGTGGAAAGCGTATTGAATCCTCATCTCTGGTTGCTCTGACTGCGTTGCCAATGCTGCAGCCTCTTCCAAGCATGAAGAATGAACATCGTTTCGAAATCAGGTGCTCCAGGAGGTCCCTCTGTGTGAGTAGTGGGTTTCTTGCCAGGAACTTATACGAAACCCTACCAGCCAACAAGCCAAGGCGTATAGAATCCCAGCCTGCGCAGCGCAAGACCCGCAAAGCATTCCCCACCATCCCGCTCGAAGTTACAAACCACCGTTACAGCATGGCGGCAGGAGAGACCTCGACAATATCTCCACCGTCGCCCGCGATCTCCTCCATGGCGCCGGCGCGGAGCACAGGGAGAAGTGTGCACCGAGGCGCAAGCGCAATGGCATGCGCAAGTGGGCCTGACGCTACGACAGGGGGGGGGCTCCCAGGTGAGGCTTGACCTTGCAGCCTTGAGCTCGCGTCAGCTGCGACTGCCATGGTAGCACCATGAGAAGCACTGGGCAAGCGCTCATCAAGGGAATGCCCCCTCAGAGGCGCCAACGGGGAGGAGGTGATGGGAGTGAACATCGTCGATTGGAGAATGAAGAGGACGCCACGCTGCCTCAAGCACCTGAACTTCACCCGCAGCAATACGTGTGAACTTTGCGTTGGCAAGTACGCGCGGACAGAGCAGGACCAAACGCGGTGTTTCACACGCCGGCTCCCCTGCTACAGCTGAGTCAGTAGTGGCACCAGATGCAGACGAGGCTGTCGACGTGGATGCGAATGGTGGGTGGAGAGATACAAAGAGCACCAATTTCAGGCCAAATTTCGCACACGATACCCCCTACCCCCCGACCACGACAGCGAGGATGCTGTTACGTCTATATACGGGAACTTCTGGGATACATTCAATATTGGGACCGGCTTTTCGTCAAGCGTCCGTCGCTGTCAGGTTTACTCCCGCAGTAGCTCCTACGGGCTGCAAGCCAAACTCGCAGCTGCTCATGCGTCGCGACTCGTCTACAGGGCTGCAGCAAGCAAGAGTCAGCAAAGACTCCGGCAAGTGAAGGCATCGTCACAACCTGCACTACAATAAGGTCGGACGGTATGTTCGGATAGGCCGTAGCAAGAGAGAACCCGCGAGTGCTGCTCAGGGGCACCTCGCTCGAGGGCCGCCGTTCTCTTGAAGTTCGTCCGAACGCAGCGAGCGCTAGCGACTCGCTTCCCCTCCACACCGCATCCACTCCTCTCCCCCCCATCCTCGGCCGTCCCCTTCTTCACCTCCCCTTCCCACCTCCCCGCTGCCGTACTACGCACCGTGGCGTAGACAAATAGCCGCGGGCAGCGCTCGCCACAGCGGTGCCCCCGACATCGCCGAGCGCACGAGCGTGGCTGCGCTCGAAGTGCCACGGGCCGCTGCCATGCCGGGCGCGCTCCTTTGCGCGCGCCCAGGTCCACAGCGTCAGGCTGGTCAACAGATCGCCGCCGCAGCGGCAAGCGCCACGGCCGCTGCCGCTAGCGGGGAGCCGCCGGCCGCCGTCGTGGCGTCGCTACACTCCACCTCGCACTCAGGCCTGTCTCGGACGACGTTCAAGCACCTGCCCTCCACCCTCGCGTCGAGGCACCCGAGCATCTTAGCACACTCTACCACGCACGTGATTCCGTCGCACTCCTGGCCGGGAATCTGGAGTGCCTTGCGAACGTGCTCGTCCACGATCTCGAGGAGGTCGTTGGCGCTGTTGTGGCACTGGAGCTCGGCGCCCTCCTCGCTGCCGAAGACAGGGCAGCTGAGCAAGCACGAGCACGCTTCCTCCGAACCTCCACCGCACATGTCGGCCTGCTCATCTGCGCGAGCCGTGTGCCCGAGGATCGCGAGCGAGATCATCGCGGCCGCGCAGCGGGCGGCCATGACCCAAGCTGTTGGTGGGCACTCGTGCCGGAGCGCTGAAGGCCAGTTCCAGCTTGAGCCAGAATCGCTACGGGCTCGGACTCCCGACGCGCAAGCTCTGACAGAAAAAAAAGAGGATCGCACAGGAAAATTGTGTAAGCAGGCATCAACGACTTGACTTGCACATGGGCTTGCGACGACGAGCTGCATGTGGCACGAACCGGCAACCCGTTTGACAAGAAAATGCCTCTGGCCACGCGGCCTGATCCGACGTCGCGAAAAAGATGCAACCTCGTGAAAAATCGCAACTGGAGCCCCAACCCCCAACTTTCTGCAGCATTTACCGAGCCAGATCGATCCGCGAGGGTCCCGAGGCTCGAAACCAGGCGAGAACGCTCTGCATGAAAAAATTCAGCGCCCAGATCTCAGAGGAGGGGTAATTGACGATAGGGGGGGGGACCCGCTCAGCGGCGGGAAATATCGACCTGGAGTCGGCGATGCATCGCCAATAGATCGGCGTCAGGCCCCGGATTGCGAAACCGCACGCTACTGGGCGGGGCGGGCTATCGGGCCTTTATCGGCGATGAATGGTCGTCGGCGGGGGGGGGCGGTCGGGCGTCGATGCATGGCCCTTATCGCACGCTACTGGGCGGGGGCGGGCGATCGGGCGTCGATGCGTCCCCCCCGGAGCCTACCCCTCCTGCGGTCGGGAACTTTTGCTGAACGTGTCGCGGCGGCGGCCCGGCGACACGCCATGCCCTGCGAGCGGAAAGCGTGTCGCCCCGCTCCGCGGGAGGCGGGGAATAGCGTGGGACGCGAACGTTCGGGAAACGGGCCGTGGACAGCGTGCCGCGCCAAAACGTGGTGGGCCAGAACTGGCGGAGCGACACGTTAACCAGACGTTCCCGACCGTATCCCCAGTTGACGTTGCCCCTGATCAGGAGGAGGGGGCGGAGAGCGCATAACCAGCACTGCCTACCCAAACGCGGGGTGCTTCGGAGGCACAGCCCGCAGAGGCGAGCTGCCCAGTGCCCCCCTCCCCCCCCCAGGTGGCCACCCAAAGGAGCACAGGCAAGGCACAATGGCAGATCTCCCTCATCCTCCTCCTCCTCCTGCTCCTCCTCCTCCTCCTCATCCTGCTCCTCCTCCTCTTCCTCCTCCTCCTCCTCCTTCATCCTCTTCCTCCTCCTCCTCCTCTTCCTCCTCCTCCTGCTCCTCCTCCTCCTTGAATACTTACGCGTTGTCTCGGCCACTTTCTTTCCGGTGGTAAGGGTATCATGTCGCGACGGTATGTTATGCATGTATATGTGTGTTCGAACACCGGCAAGCAGCGGCTGCAAGCACCACCGCGAGGTGCCCGTGCAAACAATGGCGCTGGGGCCACCAATTCGGATATGGAGGAGGAGGAGGAGGAGGAGGAGGAGGAGGAGGAAGGAAAGGCGGAAGGGAGGGGAGGAAAGAAAAGAGGGGGGGAGGACGGGGAACTGCCGTGCTCGCAGACTATCGGCCACACGGCCGGGACAGGGGCGGCTGCACCAGCGTGCAGCGGAGTGCACGACATGGAGCCGGTGCGCCGCGGACAGACAAGCGAATTGAAAGCAGAGTCCGTTGCCTCGGACGCCTCCCCGCGGGGGGCTGCAAGCCCGAGGAAGACAGGAGACCGCCCCCCCACCCCACGCCAAAGACGACGACGACGGCGGAGGCGACGAAGACGACGACGAGGACGACGAGAAGACGACGACGACGACGAGACGACGACGACGACGACGACGACGACGACGACGACGACAACGACGACGACGACGACGACGACGACGACGACCACGACGGAAGAAGAGGGGGGCACAGAAGCCGCGAGGAGAGGAGGGGAGACGGGGAAAGGAAACAGTCCCCTGCCCCCCAGGCGTGGGGCCCCCCGGGAGGGGGCACGCGGCTGGCGCCGGCAGGCCAGCCCGAGGGAGGGTGACAACAGCGCGCTCTGGACGAGCGAAATGGGCTCTCCGCCGCCCTGGTCTGCCCGCACGTGCAAGTCCACAAACGCGACAGCACGACCGAGGGGGAGGGGGGAGGGAGGACGAAAAGAAGGAGGAGGAGGAGGAGGAAGAACAACCAGACAGACAAGCGTCAAGCGGGAGCGCTGTCCTGCGAGCGCGGCCGGAAAAAATGCCTCTCACACCTAACGGAATCACATGTGGAGGTCGACGTGGAAGACGCAGCGGTGCCGGCAAATCGGCGACGGCTCCCTCCGAAAGCGTCGTACGCAGCGCTGGCGCGCCGGTGGCGTTTTCACGACTTCGCGGCAGACTTGTCGCAGCGCCTCCGCCGCCGCTTGGCCCCGCCAGAACCGCCCATGACGACAGCAGCAATGGACGCGGTACATGGCCGCCAGACGGATGCCCCGCAAAACCACTGCATCGTCATCTTCGGTGGGCCGGAGGTCTAGGCCAAGAAATGCTGCCAATCGGTCCTGCGGCGTGGCTGCCCTGGGCAACCCCAGCTCCCTGGCTATGACCGAATGCCCAAGTAGGCAGTTCGCGTAGTGCTCGATTGAATCAGGGCTGGTCGCGGAGCACCCGAACATGCAGCCCGGGAGTCCTGATCGCCCTCCCGTGCGCCGCGCAGTGGGCCAGCCGTTCCACAGTGCTCGCCAGGATGCCGCCCAGATGCGGGGTGGCGCAGACTTCCCCAGTACCTTCAAGAAACGCATGCCATGCGAGACCCGGACCCGGGGGAACTCGTCGACTGTCCACCGCTCGAGTTTGCGCCTCACTCGTGGCTCGAGATCTTCTGGCCTGCTGGTGGTCAGCATGGTAACGGCGCAGCTCTGGAAACCATGTCGAGGACGGCGGGCTTGCTGCCTCGTGAGCGGCTGGGCAATCGCATCTTCCAGGATCCGCCGTTCGACCCTGGCGATGGTGACGCCCGCGGCGGGGCAGTGCCCCAGGTTGTCGTCTAGCTGGGGGACGCACGAGCGGTCGAACCAGTCCGCCCCGGCAGCCGCCACCAACAAGTTGTCAGAATTCAGGCGGGTTCGGCGGAGCTTAGCAGCCGTGCTGCAACCCTCAGTCCTCCCTCCGCGCCATTCTCCATCGCTGCGACCAGGAGCTGCGCTGCCCTCTGCCGCGCGCGCAGATCTGCGAAGCCGCAGGGGAAGCCTCGGACTTGAAGCTGCCGCAGGTCATCAGGGGACGCCCGCAGGCTGGAGCCAGGCACTAAGCGGTTGAAAACCTCCGTCGACACCGATTCCCGACGAGGTGGCAGTCCGTCTAGCTGCGTGAGAAAGCCGAGGACGGACGCGATGTAGATCGCGTAAGCAAGGGTTGTCAGGTAAAGACCCCCGCCCGCAGCTCCCCACCAGCTCGCCTTGTCCAGCACCTTGCCGAAAGCTTTGCTGTAGCCTTCGCGCCCTCGCTCGGGCCCAAGGAGAAATCCGAGGTATACCCAGGCGACTTGCACTCCG